GTAGGAGTCCAATGTGAATATTTTGTTTCGGGATTCCAGTTATACAGAAAAAACCCTCACTTGAGTAGTTATCTTACTTTATTTTGGAGACTAAGGCTCATGTAATGATAGTGTCTCTGTTCATTTGACACCATATGGTTTTGGATTCCTCCCGCTTGGCAAATTCTGGCAAATTGGCAAATTGTGGCATATGTTGTTGAAGAGTAGAGGCTTCAGGGATAGATCATTAAGCACTCATGAACTTTATAGTTCTTAGGAGATGGAGCAGAGAAGAGAGACCCACACATCTCACATACAAGAACAGCTGCAGCAGAAGCTCATCCCCTGATAGACAGAAGCAAATCTGCATATGAGCATGGCTTGTATCTTCCTGTGGGGAATCCCATAGACAGTTCCCTGGGACACACCAAAGTCAGTGAAACATAAGGCTCATCTCTACATGAAAAAGTTTCTTTACCCCCTGCAAATGCTTGCTAATGATCCAAGCTGGATTCAGAACAGATTGTAAGGGAAAAATGTTCTTTCATCTCTGCCCTTGTTTGGGGTGAAAAGTTTTGACTACTGCCATTTCAACATTAAGTGGTATATGAGTTAATAAACGAGAACCATTTGTAAAATTAGATTTCTTTTGTTAAAGTGTTGGAGACGCAAAGTATTTTAAAATGGTTTTACTTTTAGTTTCCAACTTAATTTTGCCTATTTGGAAGAGTATGTGCTTGCAGCTAATGACAAAGGTAGAACTGCTGGCCTGCTAGCTTTTATTAACACAAAGCCATCTAATGATGTGTTGGTTTTCTCAATGGAGAGGACAGGAAAGCTCCTTGCCATTATTGTAAGAAGTGTTTTCTTGGGCAGTCTAAGGTAAACAAAGAGGAGCTTTCAGAAAGATGCATTTGGAGATCTTTTTCTGGGTCTAGAAGAGGGAAGAAGACACTGAGTGTGTGTGGTTATGGCAGAAAAAGGACAAGTTCACATCTGTTCTGTGGCAAATTATAGGGAGGAAACCTACTGCATGGGGGCTGGGTATATTTCTGTCTTTTCTCAGTTACTGAGTTAAGATCTTGGCAACTAGTAGGTCAGCCATTGACTGAGATGTGTGTGAGAGATACTGCATGAATTATTTGTGCTTGAGCAATGCTCTGCTCCTTGCAGAGCAAGAGCTTGTGTTACAGGTGGAATAACATCTCTGCTGGGACTCCTGGCACATGAATATAGGTTACATGAAAGAAGCAAGCTCTTTTGTTCTTTACCCTTGAAAGAATCTGATGAAAACATCAATCCTCCTCTTCCAAGTTCAACATTTTTTGCTGTATTTGTTTTCAGTAGGCCTCTGGTTTCTGCAGACTATAGGGACAATGAGAAGTCCTTCACTCATTTTTTCCTTTTAAAGAACAACACATAGACAAATCTCACACGTGTATCAGTCAAAAATGCAATTAGTGTGCTGTATTTGAAAGCTATCATTTTGGGGACATGCCATTATGTATTGCTGAATGTATTTGGAATCCATTGTGATGCTTAGTTTTGTCTAATAATAAGTACACATCAGGAGTGGTTTCCTTTTTGTGTTGGGTGTGTTGTTTGTGAGTGAGCCTCATGGCCTGGTTTGACAAGCGTTTCTTTTAGAGGAAGTGGCAGCTAGTCTCCCAGCGTTGGATGCTAACTTCCTAGTCTAAATCTTTCTCAGAGTGCAAGTATTTTTCTGAGGTAGGGGAGTGAAACAAACCAAGAAAGTAGGAAAAAAGTTTTTAATTCATTCCTCAGTCCACTTCACCATACGGACCCCAAACTGGCATAGCTGAGCAGTTAGGGGTTATTTAACCTAGAACAAAGTTGAGGGTTACTTAACCTAGCAAAAAGAAATGTTCTTAACATTTATCCCATGGTAAATGTGGGATAATTTTACTGACCTGAGGGCAAAAAACAGCTTGAGCCCATAGAATAGTTTGGGTTGGAAGGATCCTTCAAAGGTCATCTAGTCCATGCCCCCTTCATTTTGTGATATTTAATGCTGGGGACAAAGTAGTTTTTCCTGTCTTCTATCAGCTTGTACATGGCTAAGTGCCATCCTGGACAGGGCACATCTCATCTCTGTCCTTTCATTTACCTGCCTAAAATCACTTTTGGAGATCATCTCCAGAAACCTTTCCTAAATCATTTTGCAGACAAAAAACACTGTATAATTGCTAAGCAAATACATTTTTCTTAAGGTTCTGAGACAAGCACTCATATTTGTAGTAAAATATTAACTTGTCTTCTCTGTAGAGAATTACACTGCTCAGGGGAACTAGAGTATGCCTTTTTTAAACTAGCTGGTTCACAGCATAAGCTGGTGTCTTTTGTTATATGGGGCTGATGAGTTACCCTTCATAAAATGAATGTGGAATGACTTGGCTCTGAGTGAGGGGAACAAGATGCTGAGTGAAGCTCTTAAAACTCCCACCAGAGATGAAAATATTTTGTAATGTGGAGGAGAAATAAGGCTAAACCAGTGTTTCACTATCAGACTGTAAAGAATAGCAGCCAAGGAAAAAACCCAAGCAGAAAGGACAGCTTTACTTTTATGATTATTTGTTCTTAAGCAATTTTCTGTTAACTTGGGCAGAGGTTATTATAGGTGAAATTGTAGTTTGAGTACTATACTCTGTAGATATATATTAATGTGAGTGCATGAAAGCCAGCTGTAAGCAGCAGATCACCCACAAGGTTTGCATTTGTCGATTTTAACTGAGCTGCTGCTAAGAGACTAGATTTTGAGAAGGAAGTAAATACCTCAGAAGATTTCTAGCCTTTTAAGAGTTAATTCTTCATAAGAGATCAACATTTGATTAACCAAAAGGAGTCCCTTAGGCCAAAACAATTTTTATTACAGATGGATAATGAAAGCACTTTATGGCATTCTGCTCTGTATGTCTCACTGTGTATCTCAGTGGAGATAAAGGTGCCAAATCTGGGGCTATGATAGTTAATCACTACATAAGGGAGCATGGAGGCTTTTTGTTTGAATGAATAAAACCCATGTAAATGACAAAAGCATGTTGGTTAGAACAATAGGCAATGAAGCACACATGACAAACAACACTTTTTGGGGGTTAAAATGTGGTTCAAAAGAAAGTATTTGCTTAAAATTAAAACAATTGAACTGTTCTAGGAAAGAGAAGAGATAAAAAATCCTAACTCGTCCTCAGCTCAGTATTTTGGATAGTTTTTGTTCTTATGAAGTTGAGACCAAAGCAAAAGATGCACAGAAAATAATTGTTCTGAGCGTGCTAAAGAAGATCCAGCAGAGCTAGTAAGCTCTGTGTTCACTGGAGGGAAAAATATTGTATTCCTTTGCCTTAGTAAGGAAACAAAACAATGAAATACATATATAGAAAGAAATCAATTTCCATTTCCTGTCAGGCAGAGTCATTCTCAGAAAGGTAGCTGACATATTGAAAGTAATAAAGCCAGCAGTATCAGCAAAGCTCCTTCCTTGTTTTGCCATAGGAATGCTGTTTAGCATTGCAAATACATTATGGGAAAATAGCGAACCTTTATGATGGTACCTAAGGATGTTAAACTCTGCAGAAAGCATCTTACCTGTGCAAAAGCATACCCAAGAGAAGAGTGGACATGGTGAAGTGTACAAATATTTGATTTAAAAAGCTTGCTCTGATTGCTTTGAAATGTGGGCTGAGATCACCAGAGCTACAAAATAAAATCCTGTAAAAAAGTAATTAAGAGATAGCACAGGGTGTCTGGCATAGCTTATGCTTCACCCCTATAGCAAAAGTCTGCTAGATAGGCTGTTATTTAAAGGCCACAGGATGATGACTACTAAGATGCTACAGAAAACATTACTGAAAGGATATCTGAAAGTCAGGGAAGTACTGAAAGATCTCAGAACAGTAAAGGATATTCAATGCTGTCACCTTCTGATACATCATTAAGAAAATACTAAGGGACCATCTCATATGCCAAAAGTCAAATAACCAAATAAAAGAATTGAGGTTACTGGCTATGGATGGAAGAAAGCTGCCTGAAGTGAAATAGGCCTAGAGATATGGATGGATATAAAAAGTCCACAGGGCTGAGCTAGACTGTTCCTGCAAATTGGCAGTTAGAGATAAATTTATGTGATCTCACAGATGCTATACATTGTTACAGTTACTTAAAACTGAGTTCCTATTTTAAGCTCCAAAAGGTCAACTCAAAGGACTCCTAAGCAGTCGTTATTTTCTTTCTCTCTTAATAATTAGGAACATGGCTTTGAGAATGTGTTTTCAGATGCCAGGTGATAAAACTCAGTTATGTATAGATATAACTTTTTTTTTTTTTTTGACAAGAACAAATGAAAATAATTACTTTAAAGTACCCACTCATGAGAATAACTTGGCTCATCAGTCTAATTGCAGGCAGACACTGTCTTTCCATCACAATAAATTCACAATGGTTCATTAGTTTCTATAAGACAATGAAATGGATCATCTTGTTAACACTGCCATTGTTTTAAATGGTTGATTTCACTAAGTATGTGTTGGATTTTGCAGTATACCTGTACAACAGCAACAAAAAATTAATTAAGGAAGTGTTTGGAAGACAATGGCAGAGAGGAAAAACAATATTTCCTGCAGATCCTATATCTAGAACTTGACTGAAAGCTGAGAGGTGGTTTAAAAAAAGTATAGCATTGAGTATGAAGGTGTTGAATTATTAGCACTTGCCTGAAAGGCAGTAACTTGTTAAGCTGCAGTAAATCAGTTGTTTTCAGTCACAGAAAATGATGATTTGATTTTTCCCTTACATGAAGAAAATGGGTGTGTGAAAATAAAAATAGGGAAAGTGTGCTTTTAGTATTTTCATTATGATCACGAAAACTTTATTGAAGATATATCACTCTCCCGGTATTTTATATTCTAGATAGAAGTGTTCCAGCCCTAGGGTGACTGTTGTTACCTAACAGGAGGAATGTGGTCATTATTTTGTTTTATCAGCTTTTCTTTCTCTCCCTTTTGCAGAGGTTTAAGCACACTGAGGTCTCACTGAATTCTTCAATCCATTTCCCTGGCTGAGGCTGGCAGTACACTCTGTGGATGTGATGGAGGGATTTTATCATGGACCTGGCTCTGTGTGCAAATTACGGATGCTAACTAGGAAAGGACAAAGAGAGAGAAAAAACTAGTGTAATATCTTAAAAAGAAACATGAAGCACCTCATCTCTGATTCTTTTCTTTCTTACTTTAATTTTCCTAAAAGTGACTTTATTGATTCAATCATTTTTTTTTTTGTTTTCTTTGCACTTCTGAGAAAGAATTCAAGGTCACTGTTTCCAGTGTATACCTTAAGACTCTAACTTTTGCCATAGATATGGGCTGCTAGTTTATTATTTATTTTGGAGGATAATCCCTGATCATCGTAAACTCAAAATACAATATAGCTCACTTATGACAAAGTAAGGTTAGTCTGGGGATTAAGTTTTCCCTATTACATAGCTAAAGCTCACATATTTGATTCTGTTCCTTAGCTCTATCACTTAGATTGATATTTTCACATCAAGCAGGAAAAACTGCCACTCAGGTTTAAAATAAAGAAATAAAGATATTACTTCTTCTGGTCTTATTTCCTTGCAGCTCCCTCCTGGCTTATGGTCTGTTTTGATCCTGTCTGCTCCCCAGGGTAGTTTAACCAAAATTCACTTAGAAAATTTAGTTTTAGTATGCTGTCCTAGCCCCTGGGAAGACTGCGTACTCTGCCATTGACACCAGGTTTGCCTCAATGTCAAGGGTCATGCACATGTCCTAGGCTACTACTGCCCATGTGGCAACTACTGAAGCCTCCTGGACTCTCTTGTGAGACTCCCTCACCTATTCCCACATTATGCCCTTCAGTGGGATATCCACAACTCACACACTTGAGAGGTGGTCCAGCAGCTGGTCTCCTGTGCTGCAATGTCAAATGCCAGACATAGCTGACTACTTTCTGAAGCCCTGAAAAGTGACTATCCAAAGTGTCAGAGACCCTTACACTACCCCAAAACTGAATGCTTTGTCATGGTCAGCATGTTATTGTACCCAGTGTTGCACAACTCAACACACAGATGTTCTCACACTAAGAGAAAGATAAGAAGGTCTTCCTGAGAAAATATCCATTTTACTGGAACATTAGGAGCCAAGTTCTGCCAGTTTTACCTCTGGGCATCAGCTCTTCACTGAAGTGATTAAATTAGTGACATAACATAATACAAGTGAAGGCACAGGACTTCAGCTATACGTGGACAGCCTTCTGTAAAATTTTCTATGGCAAAAACGCTGCTGGAAAGGATCCTAACAGCCTCAAATACCTGCACACTCCACAGAGCAAAGGCCTGTTCTAGTTATCATGTGAATAGTGTCTCTCCCAAAACTCTTAAGATGCCTGTGCTGTATTGCATAAAATAATGACAGCAACACCATGCTTAACAGATGTTTTAGGCATGCTTCAGGCATGCCCCAGAGTAGGGGGGACAACTGTGCTTTCTCACAGGACCGGTTAAAGGCTACCTATTTGCAATTCAGGCAGCTTGTGCTCAGCCTCATGAAACACTCAGCCTTGAGTTCATTTGCTTTTAGGAAAAATCCCACATATGGCAGACTAGCCAGATATGCCTCTGTCACAGGGACACCTGGGACTTGTGGGCAACCTCCGTTTAGGCTCTAGCTTTTGATATCATGTATATATAACACTGAGTTTAGATTGGTGCATATAGTCATTAGTTTCTAGAACACACAGGACTTTGTCCTCTTTCTGTCCTTGTCTCCTGGGCTATGACACCGATGCAACACAAAAAAAACCTGCCTGATGTGCTTTATTATATGTGCTTTCTCTCTACATGATACCATACTCCCAGCCGTGTTCTGCTTGTTTATATACAAGACCTCCCACATTGAGGCATCTGCACAACTACTACAAATACAGCCTTGTAACTGCTTCACTGGAATAGCACTATTAACTAATTTTCCATCTTTCAGGGCTTTTATACACTGTGTGAAGCGCTAGACACAAGGAATTTACAGCAGTCTTCCAGTAAAATCTGAACCACAGGAAGAAAGAAAATTCAAGAGCAGTCAAACTAACCACTTGGACAGGGAAGAAAGGCAAGTAATGTCAGTTGACTGTGCATGAGAGGCCAACTGGCTGCAGGTCACCTGCATCTAGAGAAAGTGAGTACTGATCAGCTCTGTTGGTGAAACTAAATCTCAGCACCTTGGAGCAGGATTCCCTGAAGGTTATATTTTCTTCAGTCGATCTCCCAAACAGGTGGATGAGGTGAGGATTTGCTCCTTATAGTCACATCACAACTGAAACTCAAACTACTTTTTCTCTTTATTCTCCTTTAAAAATAGGAAAGAAATAGCTAACCTTTATAATTCAAAACAAAAGTAATCCCTCCTAGGTTTACTGTCCAAGAAACAAATAAACCTTTTATTAAAATATATATATAAAAAAAAAAGCGGTCTTTTTCTTGTTTGTTGGGTATTTTTGCAAGTCTCTTGCCTTAGGAAAGTGAGTGTGACTTCCAAGTACTCATAATATCCATCCCATTTTCTCCAAACTGACATTTCTGTCACAATTTTCTGTTCAGCATGTTTCTATATTGTGAAATGCTTCTCCTCGAGTCTCACAAGTTCCAGTTCTCATTATTATCACAATGACCTTGTCTTTTTAATAGCCCAAAGAGGAAGATAAAGCATTTTATTTCTGAACACCCCCTTTGTAACCTTGCTGAGAACAAAATCCTAAGAAAACTATGGAACATTAAGCTCTGGCTGTTTTTTTCATTAGCCGTAGTCCTAATTTTGTAATTTGGCATCCACTGAGAGTTCTGGGGTGATAATAATTCAAATCAAACTTATGAAGCAGTGAGAGTGCTTTCTGTGAGCTCTGCCAGTGTCTCTGTTGTTCCCTGTTTTTTATCATCCTTCTATACTTTCATGTGGTTCTGTGTTTTTCAGCACCTCCCACATTTTCACAGTCAATCTGGAAATGCAGTAAGTGAAAACTCAGTGGAGCAGAAGAACAGCTGATGAAAAACAGAAAAGCTAAAAGCCTCACTCACTTGTTTTATGCACATATTTAATTTTTGTGAAAGAATTAAGTATTGTGAGGCAAATGAACAGACCATGCAAAAGAAATACCTTCCAGCTCGTATTCATCAAGCATTCCTATCCTGTGCTCTGATGATACGGCAACAGATTCAGTCCCCTGGAATCATCGCTGTGTGCATTCAGCATGTTGTGGCAGCCCATGCAGTGACAGAAGAAAGGCAATTTCTGTAATATATTCAGGTCTCTTTAGAAAGCAAGCACAGCCATGCTATTAAAAGAAAGGAGGAGGACCTAGGTGGGCTTCATTCTGAGGCTGAGCCATACTGTTTTAGTGTAACTTCAGACTCTGTGTTTAACCCACTGTGTCCCATTTTCTCATCGTGAAATTGGAATAATGGTGCTACCCTACTTCACAGGGAGCTTTTGAGGCTTATTTTGTTTGTGGAGTTTGTTGAACTGGGAAATGAACAGAATAGTAAAATGCCACTATGACACACCATTATTCTCCCAGATTCCACATCCCTTATCAAAACCTGCTGTATCTCTGAAATCACCAGTGTTAGCGGCTAGAATGACAAATGGTATTCCAGGGTTTGGTTTTTTTTCTTCTTTTTTTATTTTATTTTACTTTTCTCAGTGTTTTAATGAAGTTCTATGGAATTGCTTAAATGGAATATAAAAAATAGAAAACCCCAAGTGTTAATGCAATGACCTTTTTCCACCTTTCATTCCTTTATTATATTTCATATCAAAGCACTCTTCCTTTCTAGTAGAATCTGTGCCTGTTTGCATAGCATCTAACAAAACAGTAAGTTTACAATGTGAACAATGAACTGATGGAAATATTTACATTAAAGATTTTTTATTGCAATAAACATTTAAAGTTCCCAGTCAAGAAAACCTTCCCTCTAAGAGAATTTAAATAAATGCTGTTCCCAGAAAGGACAAATCTAAATGTAGACTTGAGAATTTTTCCAAGGCAAGGCTTAGATGCTCTTTGGACCTTTTCTTTTTTTGCTTCTCCAAGAAGGAAAACCTCTGAAGTTCAGGAATGAACAGGCTTGTTGGTGTTAGGTGTCATCATTATCAGAAGTGGGTGCTGTTCCTGGCTGGGGCAGGCTCCAGCTCTATTTGGGGCAGTGTATTGCTCTCAAAGAGCAGCTATGTCCCCAGCAGTGAAACTTGCATTTAAATGCAAGCTGTCGTACTTACGTGAATGATTGACTCAGGTAATGTGAATTGTATTATGTGGAAGGCAGATAAAAAAGTCTGTGAATGTAACTCTTGTCCTTAAATATTTAAGTAATTGATTTTTCTAATCTTTGGGAATGTTTAGGATGTTACTGTAATAAATAAATAGGCAATAAGTAATTTCATGAAGTATGGGGTTTTGCCATCCTGGTTGTCGTTACTGCAAGTGGTCTGTTTACTATGGAAATTTCATATCCTAGGGTGAACCATGATGGTTTTATTTATAGTTTCAGTATGAAAGTACCTCCTCAGGTGATAGGATAACCTTTAATATTATAAGAGCTAAGAAATAAGCAGCTCAAGCTTATTGGAGACTTTGAAATCTGTCTTGTGTCTGACAATTTGGTGCATGTCTATATAGAAGCAATTCAATTTATTTTTCATTCTCTTTTTATTTTGAATTGCAGGTCAGAATTGTTTATCACTCTTCCACTTAGGAAATCAAGAACATTAAAATTATTAGAGTTTGCTGAGAGGCTTGGGGAAACTCTAAGAAAACATTTCATTTAGAAGCAGTCTTGCCTTTGCAGTTTATATTACCTGTAGGTATTTCCCAGCTGGTTACTGTGGAAACAAATGTCATATCAAAGCAAAAGACTACATTCCAGGTACAACAGATGCAACACATATGATCCCTTAAGAAAGGCACCACTCTCAGAGAAGGATTTTTTGGCAGACAACTGATATCTGGACTCTGTAGTTTGGCCCATTTGTGCCCAGCACAGCACTGAAGGCTGAGAACAAACATGAACAATGTTGTTTAGGACACCTGAAAGTGTCCTTCAAATCATTCCTGTCAACTCATGACCCTTGGGAGCTGATCTGACAAAGAAGAGAGAAGTGGCTTTGGCATTACCTCAGCCTTACTCCCCAGGGAGATTTATCTGCATAGAAAGGATGATCAAGGAGTTGGTTTGACTAGTTTCTTCCTGCTGCAGGAGTGGTTCAAAGCAAACACAGGAAGAACTGTCGTTTGTCTTTCTGAGCTGAAAACCTGCTGTTTGGTTTTACTGGGTACTTTCAGCTGGTGAAACTGTGACTTGTTGATTGCTTACCCCACAGAAATGAGCCAACAGAAACTATTATTAATTCAAATAGCAAAACAAATTTATCAAGTAGCTTTAGGTTTAGAAAGAAACAAATATTTATAGAAAAGGCAAATCTTTCTTTCTTTTAAAAAACTTTGAATGAATGAAATCTACTGAATTTTCATTTTAAATTAATTGTTGTTTCAATGTACAGATAAAAATCATTAAAAAGGACATTCAACCAGAAAAAAAAAAAACACCAAACCACCCACCCACACTTCCCTCCCAAAAAGTATGAAAGTACAATAAATATTAACCTCAAATATGAGGTTAACTTGAAATCTGATTTGAAGGGTTTGTTTCTGTTAGTAAACTGAAAACAAACCCAAATGAAACAAAACAAGAGTCCTAATGGAGAACTTTCATTCTCCTCTTCCTTTCTTGGCTTCACTAGGTTCTGTTGGCAGGATGATTTCTTAAACATCTCTGATTCTGCCAGATAATTAAATCCTCCAAACTGGCAATAATTTTATTTATTGTCTCCGTACATTGCACTGAAACCCCTTCCCTGCCTTCTCAGTTCCATAACCATTGGATCCTATACTTTCAGATAACATACCCTGTCCTTTGTTGTTTTCATCTTTTTTGTAGCAGGGACTTCCTGAATTGTGAAATGTACCCTAACAGCTGCAGGCTAATCCTGGTCCACCTAAGCAGTATGCTCCACTTCGGTCTTCTGGGTTTTTGCACAGTATAGCCTTAGCTATGAAACTTGATCAATTTTTTCAAAGATCCTAGAAATTACACAGTTATAAATAGCTATGCAAATTTTATAACCACAGTATTTTACTTAGAGTATAAGCTCATTGAAATAAAGTCATCCTTATTTCTACAATGAGGTCTCACCTCACTGGGGTGTTAATCAGTCATTTGGACTTTACATTAAATGTAATATTTAAAAGCATGATGACACAGAATAAATATTTCTATTCT